ACTACTACGATTTATCTCGTCTTTCATTTGTCACAGTTGAAGAAGTTCAAGGGAGATTCTGTACCAGTCGATACTTTACCGCCAACATTGTCTGAAGATGGTACAAGTCTATTAGAACCTTCTGCATTGAAAGGGGTTAGACACACTGAGGCAGGAGGGAAGGAAGTTTTGATTGAGTGGAAAGATCTACCGACACATGACGCAACTTGGGAGACATATGAGATCATACAAGCTCAGTTTCCTGCTTTCAACCTTGAGGACAAGGTTAATCTTTGGGCGGGAAGTGATGATGGACCGGTTCGGTCCATAGCAACACCGGCCCTTAAAGGGCCGGTTCTCACTTACTGCAGGCGGAGAACCCGCCTGCTTGGGCGGACAAGCCGAGGGGGGGAAAGCTCTCGGGTGGGCCCCTTGGGCCCACCAAATTGAAGAGAAAGGTTGTGGTGTTTGCCCTAGGGGTAAGGAGGGGATTTTGAGGGGTTCATGTGAAAGTTAAAAGTGAGTTAGGGTGGCTTTTTGGAGGGATCTCATTTTGGTGGCTGTTTTAGTTTTCTTTTTCTCTAGGGCTTGGGAGAAAGCTTCTCTTCTCGAATTGAGAGCATTGTATCCGTGGAAACTTGTAAGTCTTTTAATATTCAAGTTATTGAAGTGTTTGTGAGTGTTTTCATCCAAGAAATTTCGCATTTTTCCATCGTTTTTGGGCTGTTTTGCTTGGATTCTGAAAATTACAAATCAAGGTCCATCAAGGTCATAAGTATGACTTTAGTTAATTCGTTAGGAGAAATTTCTAGGTAAAAATAACCTAACCCTAAATCCCGCCTACGGGCCACTTCTAAGCGAAGAAATAAAACCCGCATGCTAGGGAAACTTATAAGTGAATAATTCTAAACCCAAACATCCAGGAAAATCTTAAACAGAGCCGCGAGACCTGTCCAAAACCTCAACATATGGACTACTTCTAATAGAAACAGTAAGACCCACTTCTGAAACTTTTTAAACATATAACTACCAATATGCACTATCTTTGAAGGATGATTCATGCAAAGGAGTAACAAAATTAGTTGTATCAAATGATTCAATTTCTTGTTAACTAAGATGCAAAGTGGTTCTTATCTTAAAATAGCATAGAAAGATTGTGCATGCCAAGAGGAAACCATTGGCATAAATATTTATTCAAATATGATGTCTAATTACAAAGTTGTAGCCTTATTAAATTATTTTTCTCAAATATAAACACAAGAATTATAAGATTGCAATTTTATCAAAAATATGATTTTTATATGAAAGTTATAATATAAACCTTGTTTACCTCAATCCTTTCATTAACTTCCGATCACAGTGCCTCCACTTTAACCAACTGGTGATCGTTCGAGGTGCATCCCACAAGCCTAGAGGGTTCAAACAAATGCCTCGCTGCGGTTTAAGGCCTTTTGATGATCTGGTGACCTGTAATCCTCAGGAAATATTAGGGGTTTTGCGCTCTCATAGCGATATATGGAGCTATAAGATGTAAACAAATGAGCATTTGAAGCTTAAATCTTTTCTTAGACTCCAGTAACAACTTAGCATTCTAATATTTTTGCTACTTTCTTCTTTCGTTTATTTGGTTTTGGTGCTGATGACTATTTTAGCCTATATTTTGCAATGTATTTATTTTTTGTTGCTCATGTTCTTTTTTGGTCTGTTGGATATAGTAATACAGATTAAATAATCATGTTTTGTTTCATGTATTTGTCTTTGCAGTGCTTATGATCACATTGTTCTTGTTCATTACAGAGAAGTTTCTGAGGTTTGAATGCTCTCTAGAAATTTTCATTCTAACTGCTGGTTTTTAAGCCTTAATTTTTTAAAAAATGAAAATAAAGGGCTTTTACTCTAGAAGGATAAATTAAACCTCATAATTAAGCTAATAAGCGCACAATAGCATGTCTCAGGAATCTCTAAGAACAATGAAAAAAGAAGCAAAGGTTCTAATATCCATTAGCTACTTGAATATCACTGACTGTTCTCAACTTATCCTCGACTTGTTCACGTATTGTGATGCTTAGATATAATTCACCAGAAAATAAACGTAATGATTGCACAATCTTTAACTACATTAAAATTTTCTGTCATTGATTGATTCTCTTAATAACTTATTCACTGCATGCCTGCCAAAATTTGATATATTTCAAGCGTTCGGAAACTTTACTTCTCAGGAATTAAACAGAGTACTAGTACTCTGGTTGAACTGTTTGGTATTTTCATCAACGGAAAAAACTGTACTGTCATTCATAGTTTAAAATTGCACAATAAGAGGCGCGCCTCTGTGCAATTTGGACCCATGCCGCCTTATTGCCTAAGAAATTTTGGACCCATGCCACTAACATTGACATTGTCATTGTTAGTGGGAGTGTTATGTTTACCAAAGTTTGCACTGTCATATCAGAATTATCACTGGTTACAAATTGTTTTGTATTTATGATAATATGGGAACTATACTTCCATCACATACAAGGGATTGTTCGGTTGTTCTTTCTAGTATGTTTTCACATTAAAGTAGAATTGTAGTTTCTCATAGGAACATCCGTAGCCTACATCATGTGGAAAGGCCTTAGACAACCCCGAAAGGGGATAAATTGAGTTTTTTTCTAGTTAAATTCATGATTTAATTCTTTTTTTTTTAATTCACTCATTTATGTTAGGAGGTTTATGTGTGCACTGAGGTTTGAAAGTTAAAAATGCTTGTGACACAAACATGTTAGATGCATCTTAAAATGCATTGTTTTCATATTTCTTGAAATTTCATTGAACTTTAATAAACGTATAAAAAAGTATGAAACTTCAGTTTGAATAGTGTTTGACATGTATTGAACTCATGGAAAATGTTATTCCTAGTAATTGAGAGTATAAATAGTGTTATGAGTTTTTTCCTACTTCATGATCAAATTCCAATGAGTTGGAATATATATATATATAGAGAGAGAGAGGAAAACTATTATTGCCAGTAATCAAAAGAATACAAGAATAAAATAGAGAGACAACCTTTAAAAGAAAAGACTACGTTAAAGGCATGGCCAAACACCCAAATAGCACAAGCTTACAATATAGATTTCTCGAAGAAACATGAGATGCAAAAGCACCAGTCAACAACAAAGCTAGAAAAATCTAAAATTAGGGAGATTCCATGAATCCACCCTAATTAAACCATGAAGGTTTGGAGACACTTCATTAGGAGCAAGAACATTAGAAGGAACCAGCAATTGAGCACCCCATCTCGCCAATCCATTGGCAAGTTTATTTCTTTTTCTGAAAATGAGACTCAGTATAAAATCCAACTGAGAAAGAAGTAATCTGATTCTTCTAAGTGCTGGAATAATCAGAGTTGTTTCTTTTGGAAGAGAATAACCTCTAGAGATATAATCCATGGCAATAATGATTGTTGTGTTTCGTTTCTTTCTTCTTGTTACCATGGCTTAACCCAATTCCATTGAAAAATGGGAACTGTAGATTTGGTCTTTCATTCTTTTGTTTTCTCTTTCGTCTTCTGACTTATTCCTTGAAAGAGTTTAATACTGGTCGTTAATCTTCCACAGTTTGGGATATGGTTCCTTCTCAGATTAAAATTTCCAACTGTCTTTGCATTGGAATTGTGCTTTGGACCACACCTGATTTTAGTTTGATGTATGAACTTTTATAATTGTCTTTTTTTAACATAGTTTTTAATAGTTTTAAAGCATATGTTGTAATCGTATGCCTCCTTTTGTGTTCCTTCACCTCCTAGGTGGCTTTCAGATATTTTATTGAATAATCTGTCATTTAGTTTGGACACTAGCATAATTTTTTAATCCAGTTATTGGGGCCTCAACAGTGTATTTGACTGATTTGGAGTTGGCAAGCATAGCCTTATCCTTGCATTTTAGAGTCTATTTACCTGATTCATGCCTATGAGGGATACTAGTTTTCAAAATTCAGGAGTACTAAATTCCATTAAGTGGTTTATCCAGGCATTCTATAAAAGATTAACTTCATTTGCTTTGTTTTCTTAAGTATTTTCCGAAATCATTCCTAATTGCAAATGATATACACATTTGACTCTGTAAAGCTTAGCCTTAGATGGGCTTTGTAAGGGTAGCATGCTGCAGTTTGGGAGAAATATTAGTGTGATAATGTGTTCTCGGCTAGCTGTTCAGAATTATATCTGTTGAATTTTAGCTAACAACTAATTAGGACAAACTTTCAATGTGAATAGTTGGTAAGAATTTGTAAAACTAATCTCTAGTTGTTGAGACATACTGCTGCTTGTGATGATATAACTTAACAATGTATTCTTGTACATTTCTTTTGCTTCTTTAGATCATATAGGGCTAATATTTACGTGAGTTAAGTTCTTAATTGTGCCAAACTCTCACAAAATTAGTCCTATTGCTTATATTTCTTTTTTCATTTTCTTTACTTGTATTAATTTTTCTACGTTTGATTTTTCTCAGTTTCATTCGAACTAGTTTGATTTTTGCCCTTATTTGTTTTCTAATATTTTATCAGGGAAGATTTCTTCCTCCAATAGATTCTCAGCAAACGCAAGAGCCATTATCTTCCCGGAATGGGAATTCCAGTGCGAATAACATTCAATTTAGAAGGGTTCCTTCTGCAACTAGTGAAGTATATGATTCTTGTGAAACCTCCTGCAGTCCTATTTCTGGTGAAGCTAACTCCCAGCATGTTGGAAAAGATGTTGACACAAACCGGTCGAATATGTTCAATACATCAGCTAATTCTGATCCATTATCACAGCAAGAGATCAATCTAGCATTACGCGATCTTGAAGAGCAATTAAGCTTGGATAAGTATGATGATAACGTACCAGTAGATATTTTGCCAGTCCATACAGATGAACATAAAAACCTTGAGGATTTAGCACTAATGGATAGTAAAACCTGGAATTCCTTCCAGAAGCTCCAAGAAAACCTTACGCCAATGAAAGAATATACAGGATGTGATCAAGGTGAAATCTGAAAAACAAACGTTATTAATAAAATCAGTTAGAAGTTTGAATTTTCAATTCAGAGCGTTCCATAATTTTTTTCTGTTAAAAATAGTGAACTTTTTCCTTAATCTTGATTATGCTGCGTCCTCATCTGTGGAGTAATTGCAACTAGGAGCTTAGGAATCATCCCTTTTTGTCTAATTTGCAGAAAAACAGGGAGGTCATATTTATAGGGGGGAGACAGAATGTTTCCATGAATAAACACAAGCCATTGTAGTAAATCTATGGAGTAGAGCTGGTCTTCTTTTATTGAAAAGCTGGGTGCTAGACCCTTCTCATTAAAATTAAATAAAAACAAATATTTATATATAGAAGGCAAATGCGTTTAGGAAAAACAAAACATCAGTTCCAAAGATACTAAAAAGGCCTTCAGGGTTTTATGGAAACCCGAGATCCTCGATAGCCATTTGAGATTTTTCACCATTTTACAATGTAAAACCTAGATCCAAAAATAAACCAGATTTATAATATTCTACAAAATAATTTTCTCAGGGATCAACCTTAAGTTGATAACCAAGTATTTTCTAATTTCAGTTGGATTACATCAAGGATCATCCTTAAGCCCATATCTTTTTGCTTTAGTCATGGATGTTCTTATCAGAGATTTGCCAGATGATGTTCCCTGGTGTATGTTTTTTGCTAACGATATTGTTCTTGTTGATAAGACTAAAGAGGGAGTTGAAGGTAAACTTGAATTATGAAGGTCAACCTTAGAGTCTAAAGGTTTTCGTTTGAGTAGATCTAAAACCGAATATATGGAGTGTAATTTTAGTATTAATAGATCTAGTGGGGGTTGTGACTTTGAGCGATCAAGTCATTAATAAGAGTACATGTTTTAGATATCTTGAGTCTATTGTTCAGAGTGATGGTTGTTGACCCTAATACTAGCAGCGGATCAAGTCGACCGAGCAAGGAGGGTTTCAAAAGCGAAAGAGCTCGAAATCGCGCAAAAACTCACCAGACGCGTGTCGACTGAAAATCCAAAATCGTCGAGACGACCTCCGTTCGCGAAACGGACAGCGCCGATGCGTCCGGAGCAACGGAAACAACTAAGATTGACACCCATATTGGCGGGGGTCGCCGTTCGGCGAAAAATTAAATTTTGGGCGCGCGAATCGAGACGACGACTTGTGCGAGCGGCGATGCGAAAACCAACTCGATGCAAGATTAAAAATTTATTTTTATTTTTGTGCAATATAATTAAAAAGTTTTGAAAAAAAAGAGGGAGAAAGAGCTTTTTTTAAATAAAAAATGAATTTTCTTTAAACCAAAAAAAAACCCAAAAATACCTAAACTACCCCCCACTTAACCCTCACACTCTCATATTCCCTCAACCGACCCCCTCTCCTCATTTTCACGCCAAATCCACGCCTCCAAGCCGCGAGCTCCCTCTCCCTCACGCGATTCCAAGGCCGGTCTCCTCCCTCCTCCTCCAAGCAAGGTAAATTTCTTCTTCTTCCTCTTTTCTGCTTCCTCCATTCTTCTTCTCCATTTTCTTCTTCTTCTTCCTTCTTCTTCTCTCCCATTTTTCTTTTTCTTTCTTCATCCCTCCAAGTTTCCCACCATTTCCGTCAATTTTCTTCCTCCCCTCTCTTCTCCTTCCTCTCCTTCATCTTCTTCTTCCTCCTCCAACCCACTCATGCAGATCAAAAACTTAAAGCAAAATCCATCCGCCCTCCGCAACAGTTTGTCGAGGCGGACAAATCAAAAACCACTTCAGCTCACAAAAGAGCCAAACGCCTGGTCGAGAATATCACTAGGATCCATTCTCAAACAATCTCTTGCCAGTAAGGACGTGGTACGTGTCCTCTAACCGGCAGTTTCGCCGCCAAATGGCACTGCAGGTAAACGGTTATGACCCGGGGCCCTCTGAACCGAGTGGTTTTTGCCGCCAAATGGCACCACGAAATACCGGTTATGGCCAGACACAATACACTCCTTAATGATATCAAATTCTTGAGATATGAATCAATAGGATATGATCGATAGGGCACAAAGCCCTCTGTTAGCTAAGGTGGATTCAAATTTGTCCCCTTAGACAGACATTCAACCTCGGTCTACAAGGTCCCCTTGGACGAAGTAACCCATGGTTGCCGACAAGGATCCTTCTGTCAGGTTGGGTCGACTACCTCCTCTGACTAAGTAGACCAGGGACCACGATGGCCCGGGACGACGGAACCTTGGGATCTTGATCGGGTTCATCATCCATTCCCCCACCATCCGCTTTAAGTGCAAGATGGTGAAATTTCTAATTTTAAATATCAAACCATTTCAACCCAAATTTCCAAACTTCCAAATATTTCCAAATCCATATGTATTGCTGCTACTATATGCCAGATACTACGTATTCTCTACGTATCTGATTGACGACTAGCCTTAATCGAAAGTTCTCTCTCGTTATCGGGAGGGATAATTAACTATAGGGGCTTGCGCCTATAGGAAACCAGAACTCAGATCATAAAGTCCTCACAAAATGAGGGCGAAATCTCTGGGTAGTGTCTTATCTACAAACCCATCTGCCTTCCAAAATTTACCCCGGAACTTAATTCCGTTAAAACTCCCTCGCTCAAATAAAAAGAAGAGCGGAGCGGGCGGAGGCCGGGGCCGAATTTTTGGAGCCCACAATGGTGAAATAGATGGGGATATTATTAGTAGAATTCAAGTTGGATGAAGTGGAAGAATGCATCGGGCTTGTTCTGTGATAGAAAAGTACTACTCAAACTTAAGGGAAAATTCTATAAGATGGTGGTTAGACATGTAATGCTTTATGACGCAAAATGTTGATCATTAAAAGAGAAGCATAATATTAAGTTAAGTGTTGCAGAGATGAGGATGCTCAGGTGGATGAGTGGCTTTACTCTTAAAGACAGGATACGAATGAGCATATATGTGAAAAGGTTGGAGTAGCTCCAATGACATATAAGATTAGAGAGAGTCATCATAGATGGTTTGGTCACATAAAACGGCATCCTTCCGATGACTCGGTTAGGATAGTAGATTTATTAGATTTAACCTATATTAAGAAGGGTAGAGGTAGACCTAAAAAGTTTTGGTTAGAAAATGCCTTTCTTTATTAGATCTAAATGAGAATTTTACTCTTAACCCGACACAATGGAGAAAAAGGATTCATATAGCCGACCCCATGTAGTGGGATAAAAGCTTGATGATGTTGTTGTTGTACAAAATAATTTTCTCATCAACTTTATTTTCCTTAAAGCAAGCACCATTTCTTACTCTACATATAATTCATATGAAGGCTGTGAAGATGGTATAAAAAAGTACTTTATAACTTGCCTTTCTATGTTTGTTTCACCATGAACTGAAAATAGATTGAATACTTTCAAAATGAGGGTGAACTCCAACAATTTTGATAAACCCTCTACAAGAGTTACTTATTACCCAACAATTAAAGAATAAGTAAAAGCTTAAAATAGTCCCCTGACTATCAATAAATGTTCAATTTAGTCACAGTGTTTCGCATTGTCTAATTTTAGTCCATTGACTATTAAAAATTGAGCCAACTTGGTCCCATAGCCTAAAGAATGAGTTACATTGAACTCCAAAAGTTAAATAGGAGGGGTATTTTAGGTATTATATGGGGATGTTGAGATAAAATTGCTTACTTGGCTCTATTTTATCATTACTAGAAGAGTGTATTCAATTAATGGGGCTAGTCTTTACATTACAAGTAATTAAATATACTTCATATGTCATTCATTTTCAACTTTCTTACTTGCATTCTCTCTCTTTTCTCTTCCTCCCCCCCCCCCCCCATTTTCCTCCCCCCCCCCCCCCCCCCCTCCCTCTTTTTTAATTAAGCTCATACACTTTCTTTCTTAGCAGGTTCATGAAGAAAGTTTGAGGTCAAATATTATTCATTTAAAATCATAGGACTTGACAAGATGCGTTGCCAAAGGACCCAACCATTAGAGAGATGATTAATATAAATAAAGCATGTAACATCAAACTTTGTGTATTAAGGCTCCATGACAAAATATGAGCTAGTATTGGATATTTGCACTGTATTGAGGCAAACCATTCATCAAAGAATTTTAACAACATATCATAACTCCTTTGGATTCATGCTGGGTAGGTCTTCTATTGAAGCTATTCATTTGTTGAGAGCATTGATGGAGAAGTTTAGAGAGAATAAGGATGATTTACCTGTGATATTTATTGATTTAGAGAAAGCATATGCTAAAGTTCCAAACTTCCAAGAGAAGTGCTATGGAGAGTTCTAGAAAAGAAAGGGGTTAATAATGCTTTTATTCAAGTCATTAGGGATATGTCTGCATGAGCTATTACTTGTGTTCAAACACAAGGTGGTTTGACCAAGCATTTTTCTATTTTAGTTGGATTACATCAAGGATCAGCTTTAAGCCCTTGTCCTTTTTCTTTAGTCATGGATGTTCTTATTAGACATTTGTAAGAGGATGTACCCTAGTGTATGCTTTTTGCTGATAAGACTTGAGAGGGAGTTGAAGGTAAACTTGAATTGTGGAGGTTAACCTTAGAGTCTAATGGTTTTCGTTTGAGTAAATCTAAAACCGAATACATGGAGTATAATTTTAGTAGTAATAGGTCTAGTGAGTGATTTGTGACTTCTTGAGCGATCAAGTTATTAATAAGTGTACTCGTTTTATATATCTTGGATCTATTTTTCAGAGTGATGGTGAAATATATTGGAATATTATTACTTATACTATATTGATGATGTTACTAATAGAAGGATATGAAAGATTGAATGATAAGATTGACTAAAATTGATTGAAACTAACTGAATGGCTAGGATAGACTGGTTGATAAATTGATTCGATTAACTGACACATATAATAGATATTGATGCATAATTTTCTTATATGAGTTACAACATATAGTTTCTTTTTTGCCTTTCATTGATTTAAGTAGTAATATTTTGGCCACTTGCTGAGCTATGTGCTCATTATGTGATTTTTACATGTTTCCAAGAATGAGTAAGAATCTTATGTAATGAGGCTACGAATAACATGCGCAGTTTTCCTGTCAGCACTTTTAGTTCGTTTTGCAGTATGATGTATTTGTAGTAATCGATTGGCCTTTTTATTATGGCTATTGTATACATAACATTTTAGGCTTATAATGATGGTACATATTGATGAATAGACCGTTGTTTATATGAATTTGTAAGCTTTGGTTAAATATGATTAACTCGTTAGAAAGAAGGATACAATTCTTCAAAATTTTGATTCTGGGACTTAATAAGCATTCTCTTTTAGTTACATTTTTAATTATTCTTGAAACCTTTATTAAGATTGTTTGATAACTATTTATTATTCTTAGGTGTAAACGGACAACTGAAGAGTCATGACCGGAAAATCTCTCCTTCTTGGAATGATATGCTGGAACGCACAGAACTCGATGCTCATGGAAGAGCTTTTAATGCCATGGCACTTGCTAATGGTTCCAAGCCTTCCACAATTAATGCAGCTGGGGCTTATCATCATGGCATTGAGAATGAATTCAAGCATGGAAGCGTGAGATTCATTATACTGTATTATGTTTAATGCATTGTCGCAAGCTTCTTATATTAGCATCAATTACTTTAATATACTGTTGCAAGCTTCTTATAGTAGCGTCAAATGATTGCTTTGGTTGTGATTCTGATGAGCATTTTCTGTTAAGCATCTTTAATAAGCAAATAATATTTTGCATCTTTATTTTATGTACTTGAATGCTGCTATTGTATAAGGGCATGGGTGATTCAAATTCTTTGTTCTTATAACTTGCTAATTCTGCCTTGAGATTTTGTATCATGGAGAACGCAACTTCTTTGGGTCAAGGTAGTGTTCCCTCAATTAAGTGTTATTCCATATTTTGGTTTAGACATATAAGTACCTATGACCTTGTAAACCTTAGGTCCTTGCCATTAAAAGGTAACAGATATCTTTAGAGTTCCTTCCCATTATAGCCAGTTGATGGCACTTCTCCTCAATGCCGAAATGCTTTTAGGGCTCACCTTGGTCAGTTGGTGCTTGTAGATAGAAAATATGTTATGAAAATATTTGTTTTTACTCATCTTGTATGCGAAAATGAAATATCACGGAGGGATTTTGAAAATATTTATAGAGTTTAAAGATCTTATTGATTTCTCAGTACATCCTTCCAAATGACAGAATCCAGTGAAACACTGTTTTTCGAAATATTTTTCCCAAGTTCAATCAACAAAATGATCCCTTAGAATTTATTCCATAAATGAAATAAAAAAGGGATGTACTTATTTTAAATTGAAGAGTAGAAATGCCTTTAAACCTTAACACTGACAAATTTAACTGCAGAGACTAATATTATTTTGAGAACTTTGTGGGATTTGTAGCTCAAGTTTTGACTTTCATGAACCTATGAGTAATTTATAATCCACTCCTTAGAGGTCTATCATTTATTTGCACAAGTCTTTTATATTTGGTATTTTTCTTAATTGATGGTTAGCATCTTTGATTGAGTTCTTTTTTTATGGCTCTGCAGCAATTTTCTTCAGAGAACATATTTGATGCTCAATTGGAACAAATTAGTTGGCAGCATCCAGGACGTGCAGGAAATTACGCAGGACGTATTGCTGATGGAAGTGACATAAATAGACTGTTATTTTTAGGACTAGGTAGTCTCGGGTCGCCTGATTCTGTTGTCGATCTAGCGGCAGGGGAGCTATATAATGCTCCAGGCACAACTGGTGATGGACGAAACTCCAATGAAGTGTCAGTCCAAAAAGAAAATGGCATCGACTACATGGGTAATGTTGATTTGTATGATAGGAATAATGCATATTCTTCAGATTTGTTGGGGATGTATTCTGATCAAGGCCAACATGGATCCTCCATTGCAGAAGAACCATGTTTAACAGTGCCTCATAAGCTACTATTCAGGATTCGTGAGATCTCGCCAGAATGGTCCTTTTCTTTTGAGAGAACAAAGGTACATGCTTGAAAACTAATTAATATTAATGATCCTTTATCTCGCCGCCTAGTTCAGCTTTTTTTTTTTGCTCCAGCTTTCAGGATAGTGAATTTTACAACGTAGGGCCTACCTAATACTTGAGGCTCTGGTCAACATGGGGTTTAGGGAGGGGTAATGTATGAAGTATTATCCTTCAACATAGAGTGGCTGTTTATATGACTTGAACCTATAATCTCCTGCTGATAATGATAGCATTTTAAGCATTGCTTTTCCCGCTATCAAATTTTAAAATACAAAGCATTTAGGCCATGTTGGATGTAGGCTTTATGCCAGATTTAAGCAAGATTGGAGCTAAATCCTGCCAAACGTAAAAAAAACACAATTAAATCTCATGATAAGTCTTAAATTCTGAATTTTTCAGCGGATTTATGTGGATTTAACTGAAGAAGTGTGAAAGGGAGAAATGTCCTAACCTTCGTGGCAAGCTCCTTCACAGTTTCTGATCCGACAAGAACAATATTATCGTTGGAGGAGGCGGTGAAACTTCACATGAAGCCGAAGCAGCAACAGTAATCAGAAACAATTGAAGTCAAATGTCACGGAAGAAATGGAGATAGGAACGTCATCGAAGGAGGCCAAGAAGCAGGACTCGTTCAAAACTCTACCTCACATGAAAGAAGAAATGAAGAAGAGGAAAAGCAAACCTTAGACCGGCAATGGTAGAGATGAATACTTATTCTAATTATTAATTTAATTAGCTTAATTAATATAATTAATTAATTAGATAATTAGTGATATAAGTATTAGTTAGATAATTAGTTAGTCATAAATACTTAATTGATTAATTGAACAATTATAAATATAGTTAATAACTAAAAACATATTAAAATTACACTTAAAGATTTAATGAAATAATTAAAAATTTAAATAGTAATCAAATGAGTAGTTATTTCAAATAATGATTAAATAAGTAATTAGATAATTATCATTATAATTAGCAGTGAACTACTTATTAAAATCATATCTAAATAAGTAATTAGTAATTATATCATTTGTTAAGTTATTGGATAATTGAGCTATATTCTAATTATATTGTTCTTTATTGTTATGGATGTTAATTAAAATTGAAATCGATAAGGAACTTATATTCATAACACATATATCATATGAGTTAATCATCTTAAATCTTGATTAACATTGCCAAACATTCTCACAGGATTTATTAGGATTTAATATATTTCTTATCAAATAATTTTCAAGATTTAACACCCTCGGATCTAATAAATCCGGATTTAGAGAATCTATGAAATCCTACTTAAGTTAAATCTTAGCTGCATCTAAACATGTTAAATTCCTACTTTAAATGCCAAGTTTTGCGTCAAGAAATGGAATATAGAGCAAAGAGGCAATTATTAGCTACTGAATTACAAGTTAAAACAAATTTTATCTGAGTTTGTGTGGATGGAGTGTGATTGGTAGATTGTGGCTTTTCAATGCATTTGGATGCATGCGTGTGTACATTCTTAGCATTTAATAGTTTGTCTATGATTAGCATGGGCATATGTGTCCTTTGACCGTACTAAAAGCTTGATTTAAGGCTAAAATGCGGAAGTCTGTAAATATAAAGTTAATTACAAACAACCACTCTTTAAAACACATATAATGATGTATACTCCTTTCCAAACATATATAAAGTTAAAAGAAACCATCGTCGCAGGCATGGGCGGAACCATATAGGTCTTAGGGGGAAATTGCCCCCTCTCAAAAAAAAAAATTTTTTTTATAGGAGTAAAAATTATATATATATATATATTTAGATTCAATAGGCTCTACACAAATCCGCATGAATGCATTTGGTAAGCTTAACCACTAAAGCAGATTTGTGTTTATCATCATGATTCAGTAGTTATCTAATGATATGTCTGACTATCCATGTTTTACTCATCCTCTTGTAATACTTGGATTCTAAAAAATTTAACTAATCTAAGCATTATGGCTTGCGTGGTCCACTGAAAATGGCGCATATATGCTGTAGACTTGTAAGTCACTTGATTTTTTTTTTTTTTGAATAAAATGCTTTATTTTGTTAGGGTGATGGATCACTAGAGGGTTAAGTGGAGCCCAATAAAATAATGGATGGATATCCAGTAGCTCAAAAGCTATTATTAGGAATGAACTTTTTTCTCTTTTTGTCGCACCTCATTTTTACCTCTTTCTAGGCGATAATGAAGTATAACAAAGCGAACAATCCAGTAAAATCTTGTCACACCCATCATAATTTAACTCATCAGTTGAACGAGTAAAAAATAATCTAGCTCGATCATCCCAAAAGTACACTTCATACTTAGCAATCATCTAATATAACAATCATAAATATTGAAATGGAAATGCACATAGATAAGCTCATCAATTCAAATACAAAGCTTCTAACATAACTTTCTTAAATATATTCGTGCATACCTAATTTCTTTAATTTACTTCATTATCATAAATATGTTTTACAACATTTAACATTATACATTCAAAATATTATTGTATAGAGTAAAACTCGTCACCTGTCCACTATTCTTTGTGTCCTTTCAGTTTCCTGAAATCATGGCATAACATTGAATGAGCTACAAGCTCATTGGGATAAACAATTCTCAAATAAAATTCAATCTTACAAGGAAAGAACATAAAATATCATGTTGATCATATGAGCTAAAATAAGCATTTTTACTCGATGGTATGATTAGCTTGGTATAATCAATGTTCATTCAATACATGAGTTATAAATCAAACGCATGAAAGATCATTAAGAAATAATAAATATAAGTGTTGCATGCAAAAGAAATTGATTGTAAATTTCTTACTTTCATTCTTTTATTCATTCTTAATATTCAATGTTTTTCAAAATATCATTTCATTTTTCTAGGCTTTTGCCTCTTTATATCAACATCCCCTTGATAATGCTTAGACTAATCAACTTTCTAATATCAAGATTCTTTTTTTTTAAAATTTTATGTGATAAAAATTGGATCAACCAACTTCACTGTCAGAGTTGGGTATTCCTTTTGATTTTCCTTATAAATGTTGCACCAATCAATTCTCTACTATCAAGAATCATCTCTTCTTGCACAAATCATCAAAATTAGCTCATCTAACTTACAAAATAAGGTCTTTCATATCATCATTGAATTTTATTCTCATTATTTTGATCTTTTTCCATTCCTTGATATTGGCTTACACATTTATCCATTATTTTATAATGAGGCGCATCTATGAGATAAAGCATGTTACTTGTAACATACTCTTTATGTATGGTAAGTCATTAAACAGTTTATGAGGATTAATCTGAAGTATTTGAATCAATGGTCATATGAGGAAAAATAACTAGGTCCCCTTTACAGTGAACTTATTTTTCACTCTAAAACCTCGACTTTTAGTAAGCAACCTAAAAGTAATAATTTTATGAATTCATTGCATTTCTTAATTCAATAATTCGATCAGACACGAAATAGCCTTGGATTCCCTCATTCAAAACTTTTATTCCAACTACATGAGTCAAACTCAATTCAGAGATATCACAGACACCCGGAATTCCTCGCCTAGCTTTTCCATCTTCATTTCTTCTCCTTTCCTCTCATTTTCCAGCACCTATTCTGTCATATACCTCAGCTTTCAGCTATGAGACGGAATGAGATTAGTTAGGTTAGTGTATATATATATATATATATATATATCACTGCCTAAGCCACCCCCGCCTAAGCCCTGTTTTGGGTGGAGAACCACCCCCTTACTACGGTGTATTAGTCATAAGCTGCAATAAAATTGATGGAAAAACTTAGGGAATTTGATTAAATGCTAAATGATTATATAATCAATCGTAGGTACATTATTTTTATAAACATTTTTTATATCAAAATGATTTAAATGGAATATAAATTTAATAAAAAAAATGATTTTAATGAATTTCGGGATGCATGAAAACTGAGGTAGATTTTTCAGGAGAAATTTTTATGATTAAAATTTTCGATGTTTAACATTCAATGTGGACTTTTTTCACTCTCATATGTATCTCAACAGTATTCTTATAGAAGTTCTCGACATTATCCATCACTTCTCGTCAAAATGGAAACTTATAAAAAATTGGAAGCTTATCAAAACCATCATGTATCATGCTTCAAGAGTACACTCAACCACATGAAAGCTTCATGGAGTCTCCCATATGTTCTTAAACCATGTTGACCAGAGCCACAAACTGAATGCAATACTTGACTCTAGCCAGACCATCAGCTCTACGAACACCTGTTAGAGAGGTGGATCATCGGAAGCTCATATTGAGCCCAATAAAATAATGAATAAACTTCTATCAACCCAAAAATTTAAGTCAATGGTTTAGAGAAATTATTATTATATTAGGAGGATGAGATTTTGTTTCCTTCAAAGATTGGACTGTTTTCTACCATCAGACATCTCAGTACGTCCTTCTCAAGAAAACTTTATTTTTCATTACAAGTTCACTTTCTGCAGGTTATCATCACCGGAGACTTCCTATGCAATCCTTCATCACGTTCTTGGGCAGTAATGTTTGGTGAGGTTCAAGTACCTGCAGAAATTATTCAGGAAGGAGTTCTACGTTGTCAGGCACCTGAGCATTCTTCAGGAAAGGTTGCTCTGTGTATAACATCTGGAAATAAAGAATCATGCAGTGAAGTTCGGGAGTTTGAGTTTCACTCCAAATCTGTTACTAGTTCATTGGAAACTTCACATCTTGTGAATGCAACCATAAATTCTGAAGAGCTTTCATTGCTTGTAGAATTTATTAATGTTCTGTTATGTCGATCTGATGAATTGTCAGTTTCCAAAGGTGCAGAACCAAAAGAAACTGAATGCCGCAGAAAGTTAAAAGCAGCAGAGGATCAATGGTTTCAATCTCATGAACTCCAAACTGAGATTTTGCCGGGCGCCATAGATGGGATACTTCAAGAACTAATAAAAGATAAGTTCCAGCAGTGGCTATCGTCTAAAACAAATGCAAAGGAAGATGGAAGCTGTTTGCTCTCCAATACGGAGCAACACATTATCCACATGATTTCTGGTTTGGGATATGAGTGGGCTTTGAAGCCAATTCTCGATGCTGGTGTTGGCATAAATTTCCGAGATGCTAATGGAAGGACCGCCCTTCATTGGGCTGCACGTTTTGGAAGGTAATGAGAACTTTGTGGCTTTTGAGCTAAATAATTCCCGTTATTTCTTTCAGTGGTAAACACAATTTACATTGTATGTTTTTCTAATATCTCTTTTAATGAGCATTTATGTAATTTAAATTATTTTTTTAATCTGAAACTAGATCCCTCACTGTGCTTTGTCCGTATAATGGAAGAAAAGTTTGCTTTTTGATTATGGAAAATATTGAAACTGTCACAGGGAAAAGATGGCTGCTGCACTACTTGCAACTGGTGCATTTGCTGGAGCAGTAACAGATCCTACCCCACAAGATCCTGTGGGTAAAACTGCTGGTGCTATAGCCGCCGCTAGTGGTCACAATGGTCTTGCTGGATATCTTTCAGAAGCTTATCTGACCGATTATCTCTACTCAATCAAGGGGTTGACGGTTGTGGAAGATGAAAAAATAGTAGAAAGCATATCTGAGAGAAGTGCATCGGTACAAGTTGGTGAAACAGAAGATGCACTTTCACTTAAAGATTCTTTAGCAGCGGTCAGAAATGCTGCCCAAGCTGCAGCTCGAATCCAGGCTGCTTTTCGTGCTCATTCTTTTAAGAAGAGGCAAGAAAAAGAAGCTATGAATCGTGATGAATATGGAATGACTTCAGAAGAAATGCATTGCCTCGCGTCATCTATCAAGATCCAAAAGACACTTAACAGTTATCCTGATCAGAAGCTTGATAAAGCAGCCCTATCAATACAGACGAAATATAGAGGTTGGAAAGGTCGAAAAGCTTTCCTAAGTTTCCGTCAACGTGTAGTGAAGATTCAGGTACTTGAAGTAGAAAATTGCACATTGATAATTTTGTGCTGCTGCCATGTGATTTACATTTTATAATTTACAAGCACAAAGCATTCCTCTCTGATCTCGATGTCCTGTATTGGTTCAAGTGCTATGCATTCACAACTTTGTGCTTTAATCTGTACTTTGAATCACCACTTCAATTTGGGAAGCTTGCTCTGGTCTTTTGAAAATCTATGAGATGTTTTCTTAGTCACACTTCATTTAATGTGAGTTATATGCGCATTCATGAGATTTGGGACATTTATGCTTGTTCTAGTCAGGGACAAGAAAGGAAAAATATTGGGTTAGAATACCCTGATCAAAATTTTGGTTATGAAGTATTTCAAATCCACTGGATTTATTTTTAGATGAGTAAAATACAAATTTTGATCAATTATCCATGTATTCTACTCCTCACAGAGCAAATCCAATATTTGAGACCTATTCTAATCCATTTTGGTTCAGGATAAGAAAACTTTTCCTGCAAATATCTACTTTTTTGTTTTCCTACTAACAAATGTATTCTAGAGTAATTTAATTCTGGAAAGTCTCATTTTGAAATTGTGGAAAAGAGTAGCTTTTTATCTTGTTTTCTTTGAGTTGCATTATTAGCTCATCAAAGCTTGGGATATATGTTGTCATATGCTGGGAATTGTTAGTGAGCCCCCTCACATGGTTATTAAATTAAATACTTAGTAAACTAGTAAACTAATAAACCCTAATGCATTGGAGAAGTTACAGTTGATGGAGTAATGTCTTTTTGCTATGAAGTTCACTTAACAAGAAGTTGCCAGTTATAAGCTACATGTGCAGACATTCTATATATGTTATATGGGTTTTAAAAACAACAATTTATTCAGCATCACCTTCTTTTAGAAAGAATTAATGATTTATGCCATCTCAACTGAAAGATGTTGAATTTTACAGGCTCATGTGAGAGGTCATCAGGCCAGAATGAAGTATAAAGAATTGCTTTCAGCAGTTAGTGTGCTTGAAAAGCTTATCCTAAGATGGCGCAGGAGGGGTGTTGGTCTTAGAGGTTTTTTGCTCAAATCAGACATAGCTGATGAGGGCGAAGAAGAAGACATAATCAAAGTTTTCCGCAAACAAAAAGTGGATGCTGCCCTTGAACAAGCACTCTCGAGGGTTCTTTCTATGGTGGAATCTCCTAGATCAAGGCAACAGTACCGTCGTATGCTGGAATGCTATTGCCAAGTTAAGGTAAAATATTGGTGTTACAGAGATTATATTTTAAGTTTATTTCCAGATACATACTTTAGTTTTGCTCGGTTACAGGGCTTTCAGATATCGTGATATGCATTGCTTAATCATTCCAAACAAATTAGTTTCTATTTTAAGAAACCATTTTTGCTTTTCAACTGTTAAGGATTTGTGATAATATTTGATCAGTAGTAGGATTACACGTAATTTATCAATGAATTGTTGATAGATAATTAATTATCTGTTTACATCTTTCAGTAAGTATAATGCAACATCAAACTAATTTTTTTTTTTCAGGGGATTTGCATATATACCATTATATTCATATATGTATTTCATATATAGCATTTGAATCTTTATATTTATTAATATAATATCTCAAGCTGCAAATGTACTGAGAGCTTGACCAACTATTTGCGACTTGACTTGATTACAACTCATTCATGATCGTTTGTTTTACTACAACAACAATATCAAGCCTTTATCCCACTACGTGGGGTCGGCTACATGAATCTTTTTTCCTCCATTGTGTCCTATTAAAAGTCAAATTCTCGTTTAAATATAATAAAGAAATGTCATTCCTAATATTTTCTAACCAAGTCTTTTTAGGTCTGCCTCTATCTCTCTTAACATAAGTCAAATCTAATATCTCTACTCTCCTAGCCGGGTCATCGTAAGGCCGCCGTTTTATGTGACCAAACCATCTAAGGCGACTCTCTCTAATCTTATCTTTTATTGGAGCTACTCCAACCTTTTCACGTATATGCTCATTTTGTATCCTATCCCTAAAGGTAAAGCCACTCATCCACCTGAGCATCCTCATCTCTGTCACACTTAACTTAGTATTATGCTTCTCTTTTAATGGACAACATTCAGCACCATAAAGCATTGTAGACCTCACCATTATCTTATAGAATTTTCCCTTGAGTTTGAGGGGTACTTTTCTATCACACAACAAGCCTGATGCATTTCTCCACTTCAGCCATCCAACTTGAATTCTACTGATAATCTCCCCATCTATTTCAGCATCACTCTGAATAATAGATCCATGATATCTAAAACGTGTACTCTTATTAATGACTCGATCGCCCAAAGTCATAATCCTCTCACTAGGTCTATTACTAAAATTACACTCCATATATTCCGTTTTAGATCTACTCAAGAGAAAACCTTTAGACTCTAAGGTTGATCTCCATAATTCAAGTTTACCTTCAACTCCCTCTCTAGTATTATCAACAAGAAGAATATCATCAGCAAAAAATGATCGTTTGTTTTACTAATCAATTATTTTTTTAAGTAATCAAACAAGTTCGAGTAATTTTTAAAATAATCGACTATTAATAAACAAGTTTGAACAATTGTGTTTGACTCGTTTATACTCATGAATAATATCAATTAAAGCTCATGAACAAGCTTGATATAAAACTTGTTAAGAAGTTTGATTAATATTTAATATAGAGCGTGTGAATTGTTAAGAATGATTAAGTCTTGTTATAAATCTTTATTTGGTATATTTTTACATAATTTTTAGTTTTACTATAATAAATTATTCTTATTTTACAAAAAATTAATTTTATTTTTTATTTTATACTTTTTCAATAAAATGAATTTGTTCATAAACAAGATGTATTTATTCATGTTTGTTGGATTGTTTGTTTTAAGTGTTCATGTATCTAGAAAGTAAATTTCGTTAATAGCTATTTAAGGCTTGTTTGTTTTAAAGCTAGATAAACATGAAACGAATCAAACATAAACAAACACAAGCCAAATATGAATATATCATTTTAAACGAACGAAGCTCGAACACAAATAGAAAAGTCCGAATAGAGCTCGAAATGAGCTCGTTTACCATAACAAGCTAATGGTAAACGAGCTCAAATATGAACAAGCATCTACTCGGCTCGGCTCAGTTCGTTTGTAGCCCTAATAACATCCTAATATCTAAATGACATAAAATGATATCACTAATATTAATATATGTGAAGTGAAATATATATTTTTTTATGCATACATTTTGTTATTATTTAATCTCTAGGATTTTATATAAGTAAATAGAAAGATTTAGGTGTTAAATGCGTAAATATATAAGAATTATATTGTATGTATGGCTGTATGCAAATCCCTCTTTTTTATTACTTTATAATCTTTTTGTCTTTATATTTATTATAAGAAGCTTAAGATGCTGTTATTGTAAGATTTGTTAAAGGCTAAAATCATTTGTCGTCAATAGAGTTCTCTGATATATCGGCAGCCTTTGGGTGGCGGACTAGGGAAGAGCTAGAACGGTCGGTCCAGTAGACCCCGAACCAAGGAGGGATGGACCAAGGCGAGGATGAACCTGGACAGATTTCAGCTCCTTTTGTGGGACCCAATAAAATATTAATTCATTATGTGAGAAGAGGAATTAAGGAAGGGATTAATTAGAAAGGATTTCCTAATTGAAATTCAAATTGGAGAGAAATATATTAGGAAAGAGGATCTGATTTAGGAAGGATTTCTTAATTGAAATTCAAATTTGAGAGGAAAATATATTAGGAAAGGGGGGCTGATTGAGTAGGGAATTACAAGTTTATTTAAGGCTAAGTTTAGGTTTTATTTTGGTTTATATTTGAGAGTTGTAGTTTTCTTTTCGTGAGTGCTTCTGATGTGATGCAAGAGTTGAGTTACACAAGATTAAAAAGAAGATTTAAACACTAGCTCAACCAATTATATAATCATGTTTCAAATTAAATTTGGCTACAAGAATTCGTAGTGTTTAACTTGTTTAGGCAAAGGAATTACAAGGAGATAACCAAACTATTTAAGCAAATACAAAGGAAAACATAAAGTTAAAAGCTAGTGACTGGAATCCAACGATTAATACGGAGTTGTTCACCTTGAGGCCTATTCTCTTTCCTACGAAACTAGGTTGAGCGGCGGAAGATCGTCCAAACTAGTAGTGAGGTTGCCACAAGGAGGGAGGAGCCAAGGAACGTCGTTGTGGTGAAGGAGCTTGGAGGTGGAGGTGGCACGGGAGGATGACCTTTAATGATCCACGTGTAGACGGAAAAGTGGTCATCGATGGAATCCACTAGTGTTGGTAAAATCCGATCCAAATATTCTTTGACGGTGTCGTCGAAATCAAAACCTACGTCGAAGAATGGTGATATGAGGATGTCAATTTTTCCTTGGTTGTCATACTCAAACCCGAAGTTCCACTCGGGTTCCTCCATGCATTCTTGAAGGTGAGAATGGGTGGTCTAGAGGAGTTCAGCCAAGGTGGGGAAGACAAAGATGGAGTGCAGAAATTCTGAGTAAATTCAGAATTTTGGGTGGCTTAATGGGGGTGATTTAATTTGGAATTCAATTAAATCACTAAGGTGGAAGGGGCGGCCAAAAGAGGGGGATTGGGGCCTGATTTTGTGGAGTTAATAGGGTGATTAGGAGAGAAAGAGGGGGCCAATGAAGGGGTCGGCCAAAGAGAAAGAAGAGGGAAAGGAAATAGGGGTTAATTAAGTGGGGCCCATAGATTTAAGTAACAGATTTTAATTAAAACCTGTAGTAAATTCAGATTTCAATAAAAAGGAAAGTTTCCTTTCATAGGTGTACGTAATAAGCAACCTTTTGAATTTCAAATTATAATCAAATGCTAGTGATTATTTGCTTTAATATGGCTGATTGAATAAGCAATTAATCCAGCATTAAATGCTTGATTTCCACGGGTTGGGCAACACAGGAGGAAACGGCAGTAAGGGGCTGCAGGGGAAAATCGGTGAGCTGGGGGAAAGGGTTCACGGCTTGGGCCTTGGGCTATTGTTGGGGAGTTGATGAACGGTGGAGGGGAGGGGAGATGGCTGCACGGGAGGGCCTGGACCCGTGGCCAAAAGCCTGGAGGGAGGCTGGCCGGCGGGAGGATGCAGCCAAAGTGGCCGGTGGCTCTGAGCAGGTCAATGCTAGGCGACGACAAATGCAAGGGGAGGGGAGAAATCAAATTCCAGGGATTCGAGCCACCACGGAATTACTAACCTTAAACATATTCACTTTAAATTTCCACAAGAGTGACGTGTACGAAAACTAGAACTCACAAAGAGATCTAGTCTTCTCCGGCGAACTCACTAAGAGATCTTGGCGGGTTGAACTCACAAAGAGAACAAAGATCAAATTTCATTTCATCAATAATTCAATAGCCTTCGTACAAGAAATAAGAGCCATTTAAATAGGCTCCACATGACACAAGTACAAAAGTCTAAAATGCCCTCCGGGCTACAAAAGCAAACTAATACCCTCGAGGCTAAAATGGAAAAATTGAAAAAAAAATGCATAATACATAAAATGCTAGTGCAAATAAAATCAGTAGTAGAGGCTCTCCATCATGGCCGTCGATCTCCGGTGTCGTCTCTGATATACGCGCCGGAATCTCCTGTCGATGCCCCAATCATTCTCCCCGGGTGGGAGAAAACTCGACCCCGTCGAGTGCATGCTATGGAGGCTCTCATATAACTCTAGAAGTTCTGGGTCCAGTCTCTGTAGCTCCTCTCGATTAATCCACGTGTCCTTTGTCTCTGGTGTTCCTTCCCAATGAACTAAGTATCTCTGGCGCCCTCCATCCTTTGTGGAAATAATCTCATCATCCAGAATGGTTTCGATCTTTTCCGCTCTAGGTAAATGGGGTAAATTGGGGAGTGGAGGAAGGCTAGGGATCTCACTAGGTGGGGTCTCACAAGGCTCGTTGTAAAGTGGATTGTTGGGGTTAAAATCAGGACCCTCAAAGGCTACTATATCCTCTATATTAAAAGTCGGATTCATATTAAACCCTTTCGGGAGTTCTAGCACATAAGCATTATTGTTAACCTTTGAAATTATTTTAAATGGTCCGGCGCTTCTCGCATATAACTTCTTTACGGAACCAGGAGGGAAACGCTCCGGGCGGATCCGTACCATAACAAAGTCTCCCACTTTGAATTCTTTAAACCTCCTTTTCTTATCAGCATGAATTTTATAAATGGTATTGCTTTGTTCAA